AGAATTGCCTCCACCCTTTGCTGTGATATCAAAGAAAGGAGCAGCATCTATCCATGCACGATCTTGCATTTGCTTTGCGAGAACACGCCCTCCTCATTTCTGTAGAAACTTTGCAAATAGAAACTTGCCTCTCTCTCTCTAATTCCTGTCATTTTTCTGACTGTCATCCTAATTCTTGGTCCATTTGTCTTCTCTGTTGTGTAACATCGTATCATCCTCATCTATCCCTGCCAGAGGGACATCCTGTTACTCCCCAGGATGTCATCGTGCGGTTCCCTGATCCTTACATACCTGAGGGAAGACTCAGCCTGCACCATTCTGGAACGTGTCTCTTACCATCTCACTGAATCACAGGGAAACCACTGTGTACCCTGAACCCCCACTGCTGGGGGGGGGGGGACACCCTTTTTCAGAAGAAGTCTTACCCAAAGGGATGCTTCCCCCAAAGTCTCTTTGGGCTGTGGAGTCTAAACTCCCCAAAGCAAAACATGAACAAGCAAACAGTGTGGTGGATTTCTTGCAGAGGTTTCATTACCAGGTAACTAGGTAACGTCATCAGTGCTAAAAGGGAGTGGGGCTTGCTCTTGTTTTTATATACTAATGGCTTGCCCTTTCTGTGTTGGTGGGAGCGGTCTTGGCGGATCCTTGGTTAGTTAGTAGCTTGCTTGTTTGCATTGGCAATTTCTTGATTAGGGTTTTGTTTACTTGATTGTTAGTCTAGTGTTAATTTTGGTGTTAATCTCTGCTCATACATTGCTGGTGAGGGGGGCTTTTTGTTTGTTTGTTTTGGTCTTTTTGATTCTCTCTTTTGAGTGTATGTAGATGTTGTTTATCTCAAAGATGAACAAGAAAACACAATTTTTATTTGTTTTTCTTCTGGCTTGCAATTGGGTAATTTCCTCCACTCCGATTTGCCTCACTCCTGTTTGCTCCACATGATCCAACTTTCCCATCAAAAGACCCGCCCGTTCCAAATCCGGAGGCGCTTAGACCTCGTGAGGTTTACCTTTTAGGGTACAGGATGGTGTCTCAATCATATTTGTCTACAAGAAGCAACTGTCCAACTTATTAAGAAATAGGTAACTGTGAAGTTCTTTGTGCTCTCTGAGCTTGTTTGCAGACATCTCATTACCCAGCTAGCTAACTTCATCCATGCCAGGATTATGCTACTTAGGTAATGAAATGTCTTCAAGGAACCAACCAAAGCTCAGAGAGTACCAAGAACTGTGCAGTTCAACCCTGAGCTACAGGCATTGCCATCTATTGAAATGAATAACTACTGATGCTTATAGTCTGAATCTGAAGGTGAATCAGAGGAGTGGATGGTTGAACAAACAATTACCGCCAACTGGTAATAGGTTATTTTATAAGACAGACTGGGACTTGGGCACCCCAAAAAAGAATAGCTCTTCACTGTTATAAGCTAAGTAGAGTTGGATCTAGTTAATACTAGAAATCCCAGAGCTGTGAAGTAGACGGGTAAGTCAAAACAACTTCCTGAAAGGAGCCGCTTGCCAAGAAAACAGCCTGGATGAATCACAAGAAGTCAAGCTTAACTCAAAGGAGATGTTACTTTATCATCCACCATTGAAAGCCATTACCCTTCAATGGTAAGATGAATGAACAGGGCACCACCGTCTGGCCATGTAGCAACATTGCAGGGATACTTCAGAACTTGATTGGGGGCCTTCTATAGATTTTGCACTGCGCCAGAATTTCTGGATAAAATTATTAATGCAAAAAGTACTCCTTCCCAAGAGTAGTCTTCTGTAAGCACAGAAGAAGCCAGACAGGGGCCACAAGGGCTTTGATATTATTATTGTTGTTGTTATTGTTGTTGTTGGTTAATCTTCAATTCGATTCACAGTATTATTGCAATAATATCAATATATATTTCTGGAATGATGGTCTTTGAAGGGAAAGGAGCAAGAGACCTTAACTTCTGTAGTTTCTAAGAAAATACGGAGAAAACCTGGAGTCAAAAACAGGCTGATTGGGGTTAGATCAAGTCTCCAAGCTGGCACTTTCCAACTGAGCTGGGAAACTAACTTGGCATTTTCTAACCATCAAGAAGAGATTGGAACAACCCAAGAAATTGAGTTGGATAACTTGACTTGGTCAACTTGACTCATCAAAGACAGCGAGATGAGCATATTTGAGTACAAACTTATAACAGTCTATTTAGTGACTATTTAAAGTTATAAAGGCACTGAAAAAAGTGTCATGATCATTTTTCACAAGACCAATGCAGCATCTCCAAGGTCACATCATCAAAATTCAGATGCTTGGCAACTGGCTCATATTTATGACGGTTGCAGTGTCCTGGGGTCATAAGAGTATCTTTTGTGACTTTTTGACTAGCAAAGTCAATGGGCAAAGAGGATTCACTTCACAACCGTGTTGCTAATTCAACAACTGCAGTGATGCATAAGAAAGGTTATTAAATGGGGCAAAAAAAATGTAAGAAATGTCTCACTCAGCAACAAAAAAATTGGGTTCCATTGTGGTCATAAGTAGAGCACTACCTGTATATCTTTGCTCCAAACATCCACTGTTATGGATTCAGACGCTAACTGTGGACAAACCAGGTTCAGGTCTGCTTTCAGTCAAGGTTGAGTTTGCCTACAAGACTGAACCACCACTAGGTTGCCATATTCTACCTTAGTATGCTAGGCAATCTCATTCTCCATAGCTATTCAATGGATTGTGTGCCCCATTCTCTAGAAAGTTGGCCTGTGTAAACCATATTTAAGTTAACCATGGCTATGTTGTATATACAGAGACACAGTGGCTCAGTGGCTAAGACGCTGCTAAGCTTGTCAATCAGAAAGGTCAACAATTCAGTGGTTTGAATCCCTAGCACTGTGTGATGGAGTGAGTTTCCGTTACTTGTCCCAGCTTCTGCCAACCTAGCAGTTCGAAAGCATGTAAAAAAATGCAAGTAGAAAAATAGGGACCACTTTGATGGGAAGGTACCAGTGTTCTGTTCACCTTCGGCGTTTAGTCATGCCGGCCACATGACTACGGAGACGTCTTCGGACAGCGCTGGCTCTTTGGCTTTGTAATGGAGATGAGTACCGCCCCCTAGAGCCAGAAACAACTAGCACGTATGTGCGAGGGGAACCTTTAACTTTACTATGCTGTATGTATGCAGCCACTGGGTGATTTCATTGAACTGGACTCAATCTAGGTCTAGGAGCCGATGTAGAGGTTAAAATGAGAAGAATCCCACTACGTGCATCTGGTCCAAAACATGATATCAGATGCTTGACATCATGTACAAACAATTTACACATGAGATCATTTGTTCCCCCAGTGCTTTTGCACAGAATCCATAGCTGTCCATAGGGGCTGAGCTTCCAGAAGGAAAATGGGATATTAATGTAATATACTGATCATTTTATTGAGACCCTTTCAACTGTCCCGGGGTCACCCCAAAAATACTGTGATGGGACTACAGTGAAGCAACAGTTTTCCAAGGAGCACATTGATTGATGTCAGGCTTGGTCCAAGAATGACGTAGAACAATCCAGACAAAGCTCAGTCCTTTATTTGCTCATACCATATAGACAGAATCTTGCCAGACTAAACCCTAGCCTAAGAAATATACCCTGGGAGATTTAGAGAGTGGCTGTCCTAAATCTCTTCCTCTTTCTCCAATCCAGGAGAGAGGCTGTGTTGCCTTGTCTTGTCTCAGTCTTAGGCTGCATCAACAGAGGGATAGTATCAAGGTCACGTGAAGTCTTAATATCACTTTATACTGCTTTGGTAAGACCACACTTGAGATACTGAGTCTAGTTTTGATACAAAAAAGATGTTGAGACTCTAGAAAGGGTACAGAGAATCATATATATGATTAGGGGCCTGTAGGCTAAAACCTATGATGACCAATTGCAAGAATTGGGTATGTCTAGTCTAACGAATGGAAGGACTAGAGGTGAAGACCAGACAGTCTTCCGGTATTTGAGCGGCTGTCACAGTGAAGAGGAGGTTGACCTAGTCTCCAAAGCATCTGAAGACAAGACAAAAGTAACAGATGGAAACTTATCAAGGGAAGATCCAACTTAGAACTAAGGAGAAGTTTGCTGACAATGAGAACAATCAACCAGTGGAATGGCTTGCCTTCAGAAGTTGTGGGTGCTCCATTGTTAGAGGGTTTTAAGAAGAGATTGGATAACCATTATTTTTCCGGAATGTTATAGGATCTCCCGCTTGAGAAGGGGGTTGGATTAGAAGACCTCCAAGATACCTTCCAACTCTTGTTATTCTGTAACTCCTCCTTGGACTGTACTTGTTCCTTTCTGGAAAATTGCCACTTCACTTTTTTTCCATCCCACCCCTTCCAATTCATAGAAAGAATCCATCACAAATACTGTCTCAATTAGAAATAAGTACTACTTTGTCCAGGGGTGGGATTCTACCAGTTCGGACTGGTTCTATAGAACCGGTTGTTATGATTCTGTGCAGTTCGGAGGATTGGCAAATCATGCCCCTGGCTGGCCTCGTCCCTCTCCGCCGGCCCCTCCCCTCTCCTCTCCTCCCCTCCCCACCCAGTCAGTCCTTATCGCGCATGCCTGACATCGCTGACTGCGTTCTCCCTTGTCCAGTCACTCCTTAAGGAATTTGTTTTTTCCCCCTCCCGACGATCAGCTGTTCCTATGATCAGCTGTGCCGGGATTCCCCTCACTTACTTACTGCTTTGCCCAGGAATCTTCCCTGAGGCCCAGGAAGGCAAAAAAATGGAGGAGGCAGCACCCTCTCCTGCCCCCCCCCCCACACACACCATTTTTTCCTTCCTGAGCCCCAGGGAAGCCGCCTGGGAGCAAAAAGGCCCCCCAGGAGGCTTCCCTGAGGCCTAGAAGGCTCGAAAAAGGAGCGAGTGCTGCCAAAAAAGAAAGAAAAAAGAAAAAAGAAACCATGCCCACCCAGTCACATGGCCAAACCACCTAGCCACGTCCACAGAACTGGTTGTTACAAAATTTGAATCCCACCCATGACTTTGTCCCACTTCCCAATTAAGCAGTTCCCCCCTGGAGGAAAAAATGCCCTCTCCATCCCTTTGACTCCATCCCTCCAGATTTCAACAGGGTCACCAAACCAAGGCCAGTTTTCAAACATCTTGAGAATCTGGTTCTTCCTGAATCGCAGCCAAAATCAGAGATCCACCAAGACCACTTAAAAATGGAGTTTATTACTGTTCTGTAAGCGCTCTGTTATTCTCCTGGCAATCTTATTTTTTCAGGGCAACCCTTCCTCTGCCCATTGTCCAACGCAATCCAGTCACTGGAGCCAACAAAAACACAACTGCTACATTCTCAGATGAATAGTCATACCTTCTCAGAAACTTGGCTCCCTCTCTTACAAGCTTTTACTCAGTGCAAAGCTTCCTTTTTGATAAACTCTGGCTCGGCAAGCCACTGGGTCAATTTCCCTGAGCAATCCTGGCCTGTTCAGAAGACTAGCATTGGCTTGCACCACGGGAGTCCCCAAAGACATGAAAGTCGGTCTGGAGGACATTTGAAGGAAGGCGTACTTCTTGGAAGGGTTGCTGGCCACCAACAAAGATGGTGAAAGTGCCAGGCTCCAACCACCACTGTCCAGCCCATACGGCTCTCTGGCTGAAAGATAATAGGAAGGCCACCTTGGCAGCTTGTCCCTGGCGTATTGGCAACCGGTGGAAGCCAACCAGCTGCCAGCGGGGCATAGGCACAGATGGGTTTCCCCAGCGGAGATAGAGCTGTACCACCTGCAGAAGGGACAAACATTAGAAGTGAATAGACAATCATCCAGAGAAGAAGACATCAGTAGATTCTTCACACCTTCAAAGCCTCTTCAAGGATGGAGAGATCTTTGATAAAGACTACCACCCATTTATCCAAAATCAAGGGCCCTGAATCTATGTGAACGACCCCTGTATCTTTTATCTACTTTTCTGAAAATTAGGAATCATTTCCCTCTCTGCTCATTTGACAGGTTCCTTGAGATTAGAGACATCTGTATGACCCAATTTGGAAGCAAACAATGAACCAATGGAGTCCATTTCGTTCTCTCCTCCTCTTTCTAGCAAACCAGGAGGACTCTATGAATCTTGCCAGTGGTGGAAATGCATACACTTCAACAATACACTTCAGTTTCTAAGATTCAGAGAACAATTATTTGCATTAAGTGTTATTTGCATTTTAATCCCTGCCTGACTGTAATTCTCTATCAAATAACAGGCTGCTGCAAAAACCACTTATGTAAATCAGCTGGACAAGTATTAGTAATAACAAATTACTATTCATAATTTATTAGTAATATTATCTTCTTATCTGATCCTGTTTCTGCAGCTTTGCAGCCTGATCTCAAAAAAAACACCTCTATTTCAGCAAAGTCAAAATTGGCTTTTGGTTCTTTGTTCAATGCTGTTCTTCATGGGAGCTGTGAACAAAGACCTGGGGACTGAAAATCAACCACCATTTTGGATTCATAACCCCTGTGAGATGTCACTGCAATGTACTCATTTCTTAAAACCTCTATTCCACCATAAGTGGGCCTTAATAAATACATACAAATATCCTTAGGATGTTGAGCTTTGAGGTCAACTGTACAACTTTTGTCCATCAGTAGAGAAGCTTTCAGGTCTTGCTGGTCTTCAACTTGACTCTCCATCCTCACAGCCTTTGGACCTCCTTGAGTTTTCACCCATCTCAAGCAACATCTCACCCTCTTTTATCCCACCCTCTCTGCCCTCACCAGTCTTTGCATGCAGACAAGCAACAGAATTGCCTCACCTCTTCACCATCTCTGGATCCAACATTCTCCACCACCGCAGAGATGCTAAGATTCCCACAAATGGGCACTTGGTCAGCACTCACTACCAGATCCCTGTACTGGAAGGTGGTATATGAGAGTCCATAGCCAAAGGGGTACATTGGGGCCTCTTGTCCATAGTAGCGATATGTCCTGCCAACCATTGTGTAGTTCTCCATTGGGGGTACCTGTGGTTGAGGACAAGAGTAGTGGAGGACATGGAAAGATTTGGGGCTATATGCAGGGGTGGGATTCACATTTTTAACAACCAGTTCTGTGGGCGTGGCTTAGTTGGTGGGTGTGGCTTGGTCATATGACTGGGTGGATGTGGCTTGGTGGGCATGTTATTGGATGGGTGTGGCCAACACAATATCACTTACATCGAGGCACGCATCTCCTCGCCTGGCCTCTCATGACTGTGAGGATGATGTAACAGTTGTAAATGTGAAAAATGGTCATAAGTCACTTTTTTCAATGCCATTGTAACTTTGAATAGTCACTCCACACAAGCAAAGTACCAGCAAAGGAGGGGAAAAAAACTCCAGAGACGTTCCTGAGACAGGAAGTCTAGTCCTGCCAAGAATGTAATAAGAGTTAACGGAGAGGCAGTTTCTGTAAGCAACACCAGAATGTTTCCTTCCTGCCTTCCTTACAGGATTAGGCCAGTAATTTCTTCTAACAACCGGTTCTCCAAACTGCTTAGAATGTTAACAACCGGTTCTAGCAAATAGGTGCAAACTGGTAGAATCCCATCCCTGCAGTCATCCAGGTATATACTCAGTCATCCAGTCATCCGTGGTTGGTCCCAGATATGCTTTTTCAAAAGCAACTGGACTTTGTTTTTCCTTCAAGACGTTTTGCTTCTCATCCAAGAAGCTTCTTCAGTTCTCACTGAATGGTGGAGAATGGAAGGAAGCTTCTTGGATGAGAAGTGAAATGTTTCAAGGAAAAATAAAGTCCAGTTGTCTTTGAAAAAACACCTTTGGGAAATTTGGGGCTATAGCAAGCAGGATCTAGGAGCGACTTGAGGGTCTGTTCTTGCCCAGCCTTTATCGGTTAACCACCCTTGATTAAGTGCTCTACATTGTCCCAATGTCAGCTTATTTTTTTGTAGTTAAGGTTTAATTACCGATTTGTTTTTCCTTGCTTTTATTTTAAATGGTGTGATGGCATTATTTTCCTGTATACTTTAAAAACAGTCCTTTCTATTCAAGGGGCAGTTAATGGGCTGTGGCTAATCCCCCATTGGAGACCCACAAAAAAACTAATTCAATGAGTTGAATCTGCATAAACTTTTAATTAAAATTGCCAGCGGCCTTTGTGGAATCTGACACACTTCAAAGGAAAGACTGCAACAGAATCTGGCTCTGGGAAAGGGACACCGCTGAACAGCACACCGGACTTTAATTTTACATGATGTATTTTCTAGTCTATATTTAGAAAAGTCAAGTCTCTTTCACTCTGAAGAACTTCATAGAGTCTTTTATGTAGTTTCCCTGGCAACAATACAGAAATAGTTTTATTTTAAACTATCTTCTTTCAAGACGATGTATGAGTTTCCAGTTTAGTCTGCAATCCTTTGGTGATCTCACATTCCAACGGTAATCCCATCATATCCCCATTATGTTTTTTAAGATCAGCCAAGGGATCTGTTTCAGCTCTGTCCATCTTGAAAAAGCCCAGGACATTTACAGTTGGACTGGGGATTCTGGAACACCTTGGAGACATTTGAGCATGCAAATTTGCTCTGGTACATGGTCATTCCAAGAAATGCTGGTGTTCTGGTTAGAAGGACTCTCACATTGTTAACTTTCAAGAAGGAGGAAAAAGAAATACTTTCTGTCAGGCTTTCTGTCTAACAGACCTGGGGGCAGTGGCTGCTATTTTTAGACATTATATATGTATAATCTTATGGGTTTTTATTTCTTGTATGCAGGTTGTTTTTCTGATTTTATATTGTATTGATTTCTAATAAGAAGATGGTCTAGAGCAGCGGTCGCCAACTGATGGGCTGTGGCCCACCAGTGGGCCGTCAGAAAATTTTGGTGGGCCGCAGAGAAATCTCATCCCCAGAGCACATCCCCCTCAAAGCAATTAATCCAGGCTGTGCAAAAACACAAGACTGCGCCACCCACATGGCCCGCGGGAACCCTCCTTGCCCACTCACTCCTTACCCGGCAAACTTGCCTGATAAATTGCTATTTTTCCAACCACCGGCTGTTCTGCTGTGCTGGGAGATTTAGATTAGCTAGGAAGCAGGAAATGGTTGGATTTCTTGCTTTCTAGCTAGTCTTTAGATCTTCGGCTCTGCTTTTAAGCACAACCGAATCTCCCTTAGGACGGAAGGTTCTATTATTCAGTGCAGACTCTTGGCAAGCAAATTTTATGTGACAGACTGAGCTAGCCGATGGCAGATAGATAGATCACTGAATGATTCTGTGAGCAACTCAATCTGCCTGCTTGCTTTGCCTGATTTTGGGTAAAATTTGCTCTTTTTTAAATAAAAAATTCAATATTTATATAAATATTTATAATATTTACATACAAGCCATGCCCAGCCAGTCACATGACCACCAGCCACACCCACAAATTCGGCTATGCCCACAGAACCGATTAGTGGTCCCTGGGATTTAAAATTATGAGTTTGGTGGTCCCTGAGGTCCAAAAGGTTGGCGACCCCGGGTCTAGAGAGGTATAGTGGCACACTAGTGCAATAAAATTAGGAATAGAATAGAATAGAATGTAGAATGTAGTAGAGTAGAGTAGAGTAGAGTAGAGTAGAATAGAATAGAATAGAACAGAATAGAATAAACAATCATTTAATCAACTTTTAAATCCTTCCCAATAACTTTCTGGAAAATAAAAACAATTGACAAACCTGGATTTACTTAACAGCTATGGCCAAAAAGATGGTAAAATTGGATGAAGTGACGACTCACTTAATAAGCGTAATGGAAGTTCTACCCCCAATTGTGGCCATTAAGTTGATGACTTTCTGTAGGTTTTTTTTTTGGGGGGGGGGGGGCAGGATTCAGTTATTTCCTTCCTTTTGAGTGCCACAGTCCAAGAAAGAAGCATCATTCCCCATTCCAGCCATACCTGGTCCATTCCCGTTGGCCATGTAGCTGGCAGCCTGCCGGCCGGAGTTGCCCCTTCAGCGCCCACCAACATCTTGGCCAGAGCCAGCCCTGTGGTCTCAGCAGGAAAGAAACAAGCCACAATTGCTCCCACGCCATCCTGTTCCTTGGCCCAGCTGATATCCAGAGGGCCGGCGTTGAACAGGAGCAGAATCACAGGACGGCCGGCGGCTGAAATGAAAGACCCCACCTAGCTCATGAGGAGACAAGTTGCGATCTGTGCATCCCTCACAGGTGATGTTCTCCAGATAGGTGGACTACCGTACCCCTCATCCCTAGCCACCACGTAGAAGGAGAGCCAAAGACGGCTGACCCTGGGAACTGCCTATCACCACCAAGTTCCAGGTGAGCAGAGGACATGCTTTTCAGGAATAAGATCCACAGGTGGTAGTAGCAGACACAGGTAACTTATAGGTAACCAACCCAGAGTCCAAAGTACCTTTTCAACCCTGATCCCATCATGCAGCTAATATCGAGAGTAAACTCCCAATCATTATGATGCCTTTTTTAAACCGAGGAGGTATAAAACAGGAAGCATGCAATGGTTTTTCTAAAGCAACAATCATTGTCAACATTAACAATACTAAAAAGTTTATAATACTGGTTGAGTAAAGCTCAAATCCTGCTAACTACAGGGACATACTTAAGTAGTTTCCTGCAAGTAGCACCGGCTGGATTGTTTAGCTTCACATTCTACCCTACAACCCTAGAATCTCTCTGGGGTCTCCCACCCAAAGAACAAACCTGCTCTGATCTTGCTTAGCTTTTCAAGGTCAGTCACTAGGTGCTACCCCCCAACTGGGCCATAACAATTCAACTGGACCCTAAAATGTGGTCCAAGAAGGCCAAAATGCTGGCCCCATCTCTCCTAGTGATGTCACTCCAGGCTTCTTGGAGTCCTCCTCTGGGGAAAGAGATAGTCCAACTCACCCCAGGCCACAGAGGACTGCAGAAGGTCCAGTTGATGTCTGGGCAAAGACAAGTTCTTGCGGTCATTGTATTCAGACTCCAAATCAGTCCCTGAGAGGAAGGAACAGAGTGTGTGTGAAAAGGGCTGCTTTGATGCTCTGACGTTCCAGAGCTGTCCAATCTCCTCACTGGGGATTTTTTCTGAGAAGAGGGGGAAATTTCTTAATCATCCAGGTCACGGCTGTCCCAAAGGTTCTTTTCCAAAAGACAACTGGACTTTCTTGTTTTTTTTTTCTCTCTTTGAAAATGTTTCGCTTCTTATCCAAGAAGCTTCTTCAGTCCTTTAAGGCAGAGATCCCCAACCTTTCCAGCTTGGCGGTCCAGCCTGGTGTATGTGTGGGTGTGTGAGAGGCAGATACACCTGTGCGTGCTCTCTGTTCAAGCAAGTGGAGCTTTGCACGCAAGTGCCCTCTGCTCATGCTAAGGGAGCTTCACGCACATGCACTTTTCCATCTCTCTCGCGGCCCAAACAGGCCACGGCCTGGTAGTGGACTGTGGTATGGGGACTGGGGACCCCTGTTTTAAGGCAGTTCTTCAGTCCTTTGAGGCAGGAGCCCCCAATGTCTGGGCCATGGCCCACTACTGTGCTGTGAGCCATTCGGAATCAGGCCGCGGAAGTGTCATGCATGCAGGCACATGCATCCCCACTTGTGCAAATGGGGCTGCGTGCGTGCATTTTCTTGCTGGCTGCTCGCATGGAACCATCTCTTCTCCCTCACTGGTTGATAAAGCCAGAAAGATTGGGAAACTTTTCTTTAAGGCAACTGGGCTTTCTGGTTTTTCTTCAAGACATTAAAAAAAAAATTGAGAAAGCCCTCTTGCCTTCAAAATAAAAGCACCCTGGAGATGACGAAATGAATGAAAACAGAGATCTCTCTCTGAAGATCTTGATGAAAACAGAGAGGAGATCTCTCTGCCCACAGAAGGAACAGGGATGGAGAAAGCATCTCGGGAAAGGACACTCCCTAATTCTCTGGAAAGTCAAGTCACGGGAGAGGGAGAAATTCTTTCAGGCTTGCAAGATTCTGTTACTACAACCTTAAGACTTCTTGAAGGGCTGACAGAAACCCTGCATTTCTAGGCACAGCTCTTACCTGTCCCAAGGCACACAACCACAATGTCTGCTCCTTCGATTGCAGCTTTCACATCTTTGGGAGAATACACGAGGCATCTCGGATGCTCACATCCAAGGGCAGAGGTGACATTTGCTGCGATAGCTGCTAAGCCCCTCCTGCATCAGCCAGAAACAAGGACTTCTCAGAAGTCACAAACACCGGAATGACCTCCTCTTCAGAGCCTTGACTTGTGAAACTGGATCAACCAACCCTGGGAACGTCCTTCATACGTCCCACCATATTATAGGCACATTTTAAGTACCTACAACCAGCAGAACACCCAAAGTAGGAGTTGAACTGCCCGTTGGCTTCATAGTTGAGTGTAATCAGAAGAAGGAATAAGCTTGAAGAACAGAAGGAAGAGCCACAACCAAGACAACACTCCAATAACATATCTCTCTCATATGACAGTGAGTTGGGGTGGCTCATAAATTTAATAAATAAAATAATAATTCACACCAGCTGTAGAAAAGCTGAGAGGAAGTCTAGATGAGAGCTCAGATTGAACACCACCAGCCCCAATCACACTACCGCAGTCACACCAAAACCTGTTTGGGGGTAGAGAGAGGATTGTTGGTCCTACCTGGGTGTATAAATGTACTGGGGTTCAGGGACTGGTGCATAGTCCCCAAAGAGGAGATTAGCGTTGTCTGCAAAGGGTCCAACTACCTGCCAGAAAGAGTAAGGGAAAGTAGAGGAGAGGCCGTTTCTCATAGGAAAATGAAGTTAGTGGCCATCAAGGTTTCTTTGGGATTGACTTTGTCCCCGTTTTATAACTGAATTTAACAAACTAAAATCCACAGCATTTATCATAGCACCCACTGTTTGAAAAAGCAACCCTAAGATTTGGCCAGTCTGGACCCACAACAGGACCTCGAAAATTCCATCCCTCCCTTTTTAAAATTTAAATAACCTAATTTCTAACCAGAAATGCATTGAACCCCAGGGATGAAGTCGCAAAACTTTTCATGCCAGTCTCTATTCCTGATTCTCACCCCCCTGTCACCACCGCAGCAAGATTCTCCTTCAGCAACCTCATCTAAGGGAAGTTCTGCAGGTGAAGGCTATCCACCCAACCTCAGCTGACCTTGAAAGGCCAAATAGGACTGGACCCTCTTAATCAGATGGTTCCCCCACCAGGAGACTTCAGAACTTGCCTGAAAATTAAAAAATAAACCCTGTATGAAAGGGTCCACATAACACACACACACCCCCTCAATTGACCTTGATTTGAGGGAGTCTTTATTCTTCCAATAACTTCAGAGTTTTTTTTAGTTGGTTGCATATTTTGGGAGCCAAATGGTGTTGGTGATCAGTTGTGAAACTCCCAGAAGTCAACTGGACAATCTGGACAATGTTTGCTCAGTCACATTCACAGATGTGTCAATCTTCCCATGAATATGTCCCAGGAGGGAATGTCCATTTTTAGTGCAAATTTATCAGGAACAGGTTAATTTTTGCAAGTGCCTCTCGGTGAACACTTACCGCAATGGTCTTGTGCAACAAATATTCCTCCTTAAAAGGCAGCATTTCATTCCGGTTTTTCAGCAAAACAAAGCTCTGGAGGGCGGCTCTGAGGGCCAGATTGCGATGGGCTTCTGACTGTACAACCTCCATCCCCAGCGCATTATAGGGGTTCATGGCAGGTGGGTCAAATTCGCCCAGGCGTAGACGAGTGAGGAAAAGGGGACGGACACGATGCCGGATCGTCTGCAGGAAGTAGGGTGAAGCAGAGTGTCTTCAATAAACCCCAATGGAACACTGGGGTGTATCCTTTTAAAATCCCTTGGCAATTAAATCCTTTGGATACTGAAAGGATCTATATATTTAGGACCTAGGACAAGGTCTTTTTGGGTTCAAATATTTTGTGGACAAAATATACTTTATTGTCTACTTTAAACACCTTTTGAGTAGCTCGTTTCTTGTCTGCCTTGTCCTTCTTTGACTTTTTGGGGTGCTTTTTCCAGAGCTTTGCATACCTCTGGTCATGTGCCTTTTATATTATCAGTTAATGTGGTGGAAGAGGGGATTTCTTGAGGGATCTCAGGCATAGCCACATAGTCAACCCCTGTGGTCACTTTAAAAGGGATAAAACCAGCGTTGCCGTGTACCACATTACTGTAGGCTACTTCAGCAATAAATCAGCCCAATCATTCTATTGATAACATCTTTTATCTTTAAATCTTTAAGTAAAGGAGTTACTTTTCTACCAGCATTTATATATCTTAAAATGACTCTGCACATTTTCCTACTGTATCCCACCATGGTACACAAATTGATTTACCTGCCTTGTTGTGGGGGTTTTGTTTTACGTTTTGTCCGCTGATGCATAACTTGCAATTATTCATTCCATTTCTCCTCTTATGCATTATTTTGGATACTCCCCATTACATCGCACAATCTATCTAACATCCACTGCAAATCACTCCAGTACTTAGCCAACCCCATGGCATCATCGGAATTAAAAGTGTACTTAACATGCATACCCTTCATCAGCAAATTCGAACATTAACACAAGCCTTCCCTTTCATTGCATCCACTGCTTTTCCCATGCCATTCCACAAACCTTGCATTGCACATTTTGATGGCATTCTTCTCTCTTGTTCCAAGCCATTCCCACCTTTTTCCTTAATTCCACTTTTCTCTCCGTTCAATAGGGAGGCTGAGCTATCTTCTAATTAGGGATGTGTACTTTCTCTTATCCCAGAAAATTACATTTTCTATTCGCTCCAATTTCTTTTATTTTTCTTCTACATTTGTTTTCCTCTAAGAACCGCTTTTAAAGTAGTCCCCAACTTACATTTTCACCAAGAACATGTATAGATAGTCCTCAGCTTATGACCACAGTTGGGACTAGAACTTCTATCGCTAAGCATTGCGGTTGTTAAGTGGGCCATGCCTTACTTTACAAGCTTTTTGATGCAGTTGTTAAACAGATCTGGGTTCCCTCATTGACTTTGCTCGTCAGAAGCTGCCTAGGAAAGTCGCAAATGGTCATCAGAAATATTCATGGTTGCCTTTCATGGCTTTACTTAACCGAACCGAGCATTTCACTTCTGCCACAAGTGCAACCACAGCCCTACTTTATTTCAAGCACGTCCATACTGTTAAATGCCAACAAGGATCTCAGACTTGAGACTGCCTTTGCAAGCCAACATACTGTGGCCTGCGGGGCAGTGACACACAGCTATCTTTTTAATACATAAGGGATTCATGAAAATGTAGACTTGCTTTAACCAAGCATGTGTGCAAGAAATGAACAAAAGTAGCAACTGCAATGAAGCACAGCACAAGTGTTGTAACATACAAGAAACTGGAATAAAAGGTGCTGAATTCTTAAGCATACTAGAGACTGCAGTACACCGTCCATGGATTAAGAAGGTTGTGGGAATCCAAGTGCTGCTTTAGTATGGGATGCAGGCCATCATGGTTTATTGGCTTGCTCACTGCAATTAACAGCAATGGCAATGGCATTTAAACTTATATACACCTTGAAGTGCTTTACAGCCCTCTCTAAGTTCTTTACAGAGTCAGCATATTGCCCTCAACAATCTGGCTCCTCATTTTACCGACCTCAGAAGGATGGAAGGCTGAGTCAACCTTGAGCCAGTGAGAATTGAACTCCTGGCAATGGGCGGATTCAGCCTGAAATACTGCATTCTAATCACTGCACCACCATGGTTCATAATGCCTATTTGTTAAGTGGTCATGAAGTAATGACTACTTAGGAGTTCCAGGGTTTATATAGTTGAGCATGCTGTGTGAAAGCTGCTAGGGAATAACAGCTCCAAAATATGGAGTTGGAGGGCAACAGCAAAGATTATCTCATCTTCTGCAACATTCCTGAAAAATGCCCATCTAACTTCTGTTGCTTAAAGTTCCAGTTGAAGATGAGTCTGGCTCTTTCCATGACACTCAAACACCTGAAATCAAAACCTCCCTATTTTGTAATATGACTCCATCATTATCGAATCCGACTTAGCCTTTCTTCTTCAAGGAGATACTCCTTAGAGCCCTGTCCTTCTTACTGAACTACAACTCCCAGCAATCCCATTTAGTAATAATTATTTTATTTATTTATTTGATTTGCCAATTGTTTACAAGATAATAAGTATAAGTGTATACATAGTTGTGAATACATGAAATGGGTACATATAAGAAAAATAAAAGAATAAGAGGAACAATAGGACAGGGACGGTAGGCACGTTGGTGCGCTTATGCACGCCCCCTACAGACCTCTTAGGAAAGGGGTGAGGTCAATAGTAGACAGTCTAAGGTTAAAGTTTTTGGGGTTTGGGGAAGAGACTACAGAGTCGGGTAGAGTATTCCAGACATTGACCACTCTATTGCTGAAGTCGTATTTCCTGCAATCAAGTTTGGTGCGGTTTACTTTGAGTTTGTATCTATTGTGTGCTCTTGTGTTGTTATGGTTGAAGCTGAAGTATTCATTGACAGGTAGGACATTACAATGTATGATTTTATATACCATGCTTAAGTCAGACCGAAGACGGCATAATTCAAGGTTTTCTAGTTCTAGAATTTCAAGTCTGGTGGCATAAGGTATTCTACAACGAGTAGAAGAGTGGAGAACTCTTCTTGTGAAATATTTCTGGACTTTCTCAATTGTGCTAATATCAGATACGTAATGTGGGTTCCAGACTGATGAACTGTATTCGAGTATTGGTCTAGCAAATGTTTTGTATGCTCTGGTTAGTAGTGTGATATTACCAGAGAAAAAGCTACGTAGGATTAGGTTAACAACTCTTAATGCCTTTTTGGCTATGTAGTTGCAGTGGGCTCTAGCACTTAGATCATTAGAGGTGAGTATTCCAAGGTCCTTTACAGAGCTTGGGTCATCAACAAGATCTTGACTATTCAGCTTGTATTTTATTTTCTGATTTTTTTTGCCAATATGTAAGACAGAGCATTTATTTGTTGAGATTTGAAGTTGCCATTTGTTTGACCATTCAGATACATAGTCAAGATCTTTTTGTAGGGTAGCAGTATTGTCTGTGGTATTGAACAGCTTTACATCATCAGTGAAGAGAACGCAATTGCTCTTAATATGATCACAGAGGTCGTTTATATAGAGTATGAAGAGAGTTATCAGAGTATATTCATGAACTGGAATAGAGCTTAGTAACAAGGTCAGCCAATGAGAGCTGAGTTGAGGGCTGAAACTTAAACAGAGAATCTGGGCCTGGTTTATCTCTGTTCTGTGCTCAGCTTTAAAGTGAAAGAGAAACTAACTTGCTTGCCTACTAAACTAAAGTGAAACTGGGGTCTGTTTCTGAGCTCCTGAGTTGCTGTTCTGCTCTGAACCTGTAACATGTCTGCTTCTGTTTGAGTTTGCTCCATGTTGGAGAAATCTACAACTGGTATTGTAAAATTTACTTCATGTATTTATAAAGAAATTAAATGAAGCCTCAGTCACCTATGTTTACTTTTCCGGCGCTGAATTTACACTGCAACACTCTGAACAATAATTAATTGCAAAGGATGCTGGAAGTTGTAGTTTAGCAACATTTAGAAGAACCCTGGGTTCCCTGTTTTTCTTCACAAATAGACAGTATCACATCCCGACTTGTCCGCTCTGGAATTGGTGGCAATTTCTTCCACTGCAAGGAGATGGACCACTTACTTCCACAGAAATGTTGCCCTTGCTAAGGGCTTCAGCTATGTACATGTAAACATTCTTCTTCATCCCATAAGAAAGCTCTAGGTTACATCCGGCATTCACAGCCACTGCAGGGAGAAAGAAGGATGGCACAGTTAGTCCAAAAAATTCAGTGAAACACTGGCTTCAATTCATGTTTATCTGTAAGTCATGGTTTGGCTATCTGTCTGAGGAGACAGAGAATCTGGCAATAGTATGCCACCCTTAGCAAGTAAATAGCAAGAGCAGGTAGACTGGTGCTTCACAGTCCTTTACAATCTTCTCTAATGGGTTTACAAAGTCAGCATATGGCCCCCAACAATCTGGGTCCTCATTTTAATGACCTTGGAAGGTTGGAAGGCTGAGTCAACCTTGAGCCAGTGAGAATTTGCCTGCAGTACTGCATTCTAACCACTGTGCTACCACCTCATGATAGAGGACAAGATAATCTTTGCTGTTGCCCTCCAATTCCCTAGCAGCTTTAACGACCAATGTTCATATTACAGTCCTTTGGATCTCCATTTCTCACTGCTAACATTAACCTGATAGTGCCTAAGATAATATTTATAAATTCATCCGTGATGATAGTATATGTGCTAATTGGGAGGCTGAGGGGTTAAATATGCTAGGTTTGTCAGCTGGAAAGCTAACTATCTGGGTTTGAGACCCGAGCGCTACGCGATAGGGTGACCCCGTTACTTGCCTCAGTCCTGCCAACCTAGCAGTTTGAAAGCATGCAAATGCAGGTAGATAAATAGGTACCACTTCGGTGGGAAGGTAACACTGTTTCCTTGGAGAATAGTCATTCTGGCCACATGACCATGGAAGTGTCTTTGGACAACACTGGCTCCCTCGGCTAAAAAATGCAGATGAGCACCTTCACCAGAATTGGGCACCACTGGATAGAGGAAACCTTTACCTTTACATTTATATGTGCTAATTATAGACAAGGAGTTTTTGGTAGAGAAAACAGTAGTTGGATGATGAAAGTAAGGACAGATGGAAACAAATCTGGGTTCCAGGTTACAAAATTAGCCCCAGAGCATGGACTCTCAGAACTCAATCTGCAATTGAAGCTAGGTTGCAAGGGGCTTCCAGCATGGAGGTGAGAAGACAGGTGCTTTGCAACACTCACCAATTGCAGTCTCCAGGAAACTGTGGGTGTAGTGGTGCCCAGACATGATCAGCTCCACAGCACCTTCATCGCTCACTACGTAACCCTGGAAGCCCCATTCGTCACGCAGGATGTCTGTCAGCAGCTTCTTGTTTGCACAGGCTGGGACTCCATTAATTCTGCCAGACGAACCAAGGATGGTTAGCAGACTTTACAAGCACGGCCTCTTTGGGGTCATCGCTTCCGGTCTTCCTGATCTGACAAGAGCCAGTTTGGTCTGGTGATTCAGGCACCAGGGAAAAAAGCAGGAGGCGGTGAGTTCTAGTCCCGCCTTAGCCATGAATGCCAGCTGGGTGACTTTGAACCCCTCTCTCTCTCAGCCCAACTCACCTCACGGGTTGTTGTTGTAAGTAAAATAGGAGGAGGAAGATTTGTTGGATATATGCCTGCTGCCTCAAGTTATTTATAAAAGTAATACAAGCAGGATATAAATAAAATAATAAAGCAAAATAAAAAATGCAATACAATAAATAATAATAAAATAATAACAATAAAATAAAATAAACATACCTGTTATAGCTACACATGAAGCTAAACGTCCCAGCCCTTACACAGGCTTCAAACTGAGGCAGGAAAGTCATGCGCCAATCACGTTCCTCCACCTGTCACAAAACACACCACCATGTTCTCAGTATGCTGCCAGCTCATTCAACACAGCTTGTGAAACTCCTCCCAAATCAATTCTATCTTCTGTCCTCACCTTAGCCTCTTAGGTTGCATATGACCACTGCCAGAAAGCTCATAAAATTGATGGGCCTTTCCCGGGAGGACTTACAATCTGGTTCCTTAATTCCAACAGCTGCACCCTTCCTCACAGTCATATGTCAACTGCTCAACAACTGGCTCACATTTATGGTTTTGTTTGCAGCCTCCTGGGTTCACATGACCACATTTTACTATGGTTTTTGCCAAAACCAGCATTTCCTTCTGGTTTTCAGCAAAACCAGCCTACAGTGAATAATTGGTTCACTTTACCATTACAGCGTTCACTTTACAACTGTGGTCTTTGCTTAACAACTACCACAAACAAGGTCATAGAATTGGGTCAGTCAGATGGATAACCTGCATTTCAACCATCATGACTTACAGCCGTAATGAGAAGACTCCATTACAGTCTTAAGTTTTGGACTGTTTTGTCAGAAAATATTCATGAACTGGAATAGAGCTTGGTAACAAGGTCAGCCAATGAATAGGCATAGCAACTAAATCAGCCAATGAGGACAGTTTGGAAACTGAAACTAGAAGTAGCCTAGGCGTGGCTCTATATTAAGCTCTGCAACTCTGCAGCTATATTAAGCTCTGAGTCTGTCAATTGAAGATGAAACTAGCTTGCTTGTCTGCTGAACTAAAGTGAAACTGATGTCTGTTTCTGAGCTCCTGAATTGCTACTGAAGTTACTTGCAACATGTTTCTGTCTGAGTTTGCTCCATGTTGGAGAAATCTACAACTGGTTTGTAAAATCTACTTATTATGTTTATAAAGATATTAAATGAAGCATTAGCCATCTGTGTTTATTTTTCTGGTGCTGAATTAACGCTGCAAAACTCTGAATATATTTGTAAATAGCTTAAATTCATAACCATCCTGTAAGGTCTCCTTGTTCACTCATTGTAATCCAAGCCAACCCTTTAAATGTCTATGGAGATTCTCAGTCATCTGAGTCATGGTTGTCCCAAAGGTGCTTTTTCAAGGGGCATCTGGACTTTCTTTTGTCTTTGAAGATGTTTTGGTTCTCTTCCAAGAAGCTGAAGAAGCTTCTTAGATGAGAAGCGAAATGTCTTTAAAAAAACCCAGAAAGTCTTGTATGTATAGTGTGTTTCCTTAGTGTTGTTATATCCGTGATTGCATGACCCTTGTAAATAAATAAAAGTCTATTATGCTGTTCTTGCTTTGAGGGTTGCAGGAAACTAGGCGGCTGGAATGAAAACAAATGAGCTAGAGAAACTGGCAGGAAGGAGGCGCCCAACTCCAAAATCCACCTGGACAGAAGCTCCATCTTTGATCCCATTTCACTCACCTTGGCGTCAAAGACAAACCGGGATACAGGGATATTCTCAGGACCTCCATGGACATCAAAATGCTTGCAGCCAGCATTAGCTTTGATGTAACGGGGATGGTCACCCTGAAGTCCCTTCACAAATGCAATTCCCAGTTGGGTGGTCAAGAATGGGTCCTCCCCATAAGTCTCCTAAGAGTGGGAAAAGAAGCAAGCTGGTCAGCTCACCCCTATTCTTCCCCTACCCCGTTTTTATTTCAGTTCATGACAAGCGTAAAATGAGAGCAATCTGGCAAAGAAATGAAAAGAATTACAAAGAAGAAGCACCAAAGCAATGAGATTCTTAAATAATAGGTGTATAATATAGCAAGATATTACTACCATAACTCTAAACCTACAATCTAAAGTGAAATGCAGAATATTATCAGCCTTAAACCTGTAAAATTAAGCTAATACCCATGATCAAAAGCCCTTGATCTTTGAGTCACTCATTTCTACTTCTGGTTATCCCATTTTTGAGAGTAAGATCCTAGCCTAGCAGTTCCTTGGGTCTGCCTTAAATTTCTACAGGTCAAACTATCTCTTTTTTAAAAATAGTTTTTATTTTATTTTATAAATAAAAAATATATATTATAAATAAAATAAAGGTCAAACTGTCTCAAGATTTGCTTGAATCTAATTTCAGAAGCTCCTTTTTCAGCTCAGGTGACTCTTATGGCCAAGACTAGGAATATTTATAGCCTTTAGTGTAATCCCTGTTGAGATAAGATAACCTTTATTGTCATGTTTTTACTGTGAGCACAGTGGCAAACATTAAAAATGAAATTCCATATAGATTCTATATGCATACCGTGTTTCTCCAACAATACGGCCTCCACCAATAGGAAGACCCAGCATGTTTTCTAGGCATAAAATCAAATTAAGCCCCTCCCCCCAAATTTAGGCCTAGTTTAAAACATGCAAAATAGGGGGAAGGGTGGGGGGACTTGCCATTTGGAGTGCCGTTGGAGCTGCCGCCGCCGTTTGGAGTGCCGTTGGAGCTGCTGCCGCCGTTTGGAGCTGCCGCCGCCGTTTGGAGTGCCGCCGCCACATTTGGAGCTGCCACTTCCGCGTTTGGAGCACTGCCGCTGTTTGGAGCACCACCGCCATTTGGAGCGCCGCCGCCACTCCAAACACGGCGGCAGCTCCAAACACGGAAGCAGCAGCTCCAAATGTGGCGGCGGCACTCCAAACGGCGGCGGCAGCTCCAAATGGCGGCGGCAGCTCCAACAGCACTCCAAACGGCGGCAGCAGCTCCAACGGCACTCCAAACGGCAGCGGCAGCTCCAACGGCACTCCATACGGCAGCGACAGCTCCAACGGCACTCCATACGGCAGCGGAATGGGCAGAAGGGAAAGCAACAGCGGCAGGTGCCAAAGGTCTTGGGTCTGCAGGAAAGGTGTTTGGTGGGAGTAGGGAGCTCTCTGCGCTTCGCCATGATCGCCCGTTAGGAGCGGCTGGTGGCGAGGCTGCCCGCGGGGCGCTCTAGATGAGGATGAAAGGGGAAAAATTAAGTTACCCCCGAAAAGACGGCCTAGCCATTTTTTCGGGGCTCAAAAAAAAAAAAGGCCCGGCCTTATTATGTGAGAAACACGGCACATACATACATACATACAGCATGTGCATGTGTGTGTTATATGTTACACACATAGACATATTCAACCATACATATGCACACACATATATATTAATCACTGTTCATTCTGAACACTTAGCGCAAAAAGGAAAATTGCGACTTCAGAAGGTTGATGCCACATGGAAAAAATCTCTGACTGAATCTAGATGTTCTGCTTCTTCACAACTTTGGAGACACTCAACAATAGTTGCATTTCAGAGGACTATTCTTCTGACAATTAATGACATGTTTTCCCTGATCTTCCTGGTCTCACCCTCCCTATTCATGTTCCTAAATCTTTGATACCTGGTTCCTGCCCCACAGTGGGTGCCGCATGATGTTCAAGACTGGGCTGAAGCAGCTTAAGCCGGTATGGTCCTTGTAGTAGCCTATGGAGTCAAAATAGTTGTGCTTGGCGCGAACCTCAGTGGCCGTAGCGTTGGCCACTTCGAAGATGAGTTGAGGACTGTTTGAAGACATAAGGAGAGTTGAAGAGAAAAGGATTCTTATTTGCCATGAAATGAGGTCATGCCAAACACGCCACGTTGTCATTCTTTACAGATGGGAGTCTCAGTTCTCTGCAGGCCAAGGGTTTCCAGAGATCTCTAATTGAGGCCCCAACTACATATTTTGTGTCAATGACATCATATGCAAATTGTGTACAGCAGGTCATTTACATGATTTGCATTGTGATGTCATGGCATAGGTGACATCATTTGCCCTTCCCTGTGGATACCCAAGTCGTCATTTTCTTAATAAATTTAATATTTTTTTAGGGAGATAAAAACAAATATTAGAAAAGAAACAGAGAAATTAAGAATAAATAAGTAAGAAAGAAAATAGAAACAATACCAATAGAAAAAGAAAAGATTATAAAGAAGCAGCTTATTATTTTTGGACAACAGTTGTAAATGCAAAAAAGCAACAACCCAGTTTAAGACAATATTCAATCAGAAGAAGAGAGGATTTATTTGAGACATGTTAGCCATAGTCAGGATCATAAATGGAAGCTACGCAGAAGATGGGATTGTAACAATTTTCCTTGCCACAGAAACTAAGACTCAGAAATAAGGCGACACTACCTAGATTTTCTTCCAAACCAAGGAAGGGCTTCCTAAAGGTTGTTCTTAGGTTGTTCATAGGTAGACAGTGGAGCAGTCTACCTCTGGTGGTTTGGGTTCCCTATCTCTGGAGACTTTGAAGAAGAAGCTGTACATCTGACTCTGGTAGATGGTGTAAATTGTCTTTTGAGTAGACAATCCTTGTGGCCCTTCCAACTCTACAATTCCAAAAATGGTACCAGGTTTTGCAACTCTGGACTCTCAAGATGTCTATGTCTGAGGGTATACTGAAAATTTAGCAATAATGGGTCACCAAGATTCTAAGTGGGCGAATTCAGAGACAGAATTGGGGCAACACATAACAACTGCTTTTCTGACAAATAGAAATTTTGTCCACAATTGTGGCCATAAGTCTAGGACTACCTGTACATTGACTTAATAGGCAATTTCCTACCTGAAAGAGGCAGCCAAGCCGAGTGCTTGAGGAAAAGATGTCGCCCAGCCCAGAGCCTCTGCATCCCCACGAAGACATTCAGTGTTCCAGTTGTAGGGTCCAATGCCCAAACGAACAATAGGTGGGGCTGGTCCATTTCCCAGAGCTCCACCTCTCGCCATCTGTGAGTATGGTGAATGGATAACTACCATCAGGCACTCCTCTGATGTGGTTTGATAGATGAAGACAAGCAGACTGGTCTTCCAAAGCCCCATTGACCATCATCCCCACCAAACCACTCAAGATGCTTCTCGTACCTGCAGGATCATCTCCTCAGGGGTCAGCCTGTTAACCAGATCATCCACTCGTTCCTCCCAAGACAATGTGGGATTCCTGAAGGGGAAGTCCCACCCCCAGCAGAGCCCAGCCAACAGCAATGGGGCAGCAAGGCGACAAAAAGCCATCATTTTTGTCTGCAATGGAGAAAATAGCAATACCACTTCAACTTACATACTGCTTCATATTGCTTTACAGCCCTTTGTAAGCGGTTTAACACAGCATATTTCTCCCAATAACCTGGGTCCTCATTTTACTGGCCTCGGAAGGATGGAAGGCTGAGTCAATCTTGCAGATCGAACTCCTGGCAGTGAGCAGTGAGCCGAATTAACCTGCGATTCTGCATTCTAGCCACTGCATGGTGAGTTTGTGGTGCAGGGGAACATGCCTTTGAGTTTTCATCTAGATAGGGATGTTCTTTTTTTTGTGTGTGCATATCTTGGAAGTGGCTTAATCTTCCTTCTTCCAAGATGTTCTTCCTATTTCCTATTTCCCATTCCAGCCCCTACCCTGGTAATCCTATTCAAGAAATAACAAGTTTTTACAGGAAATTTCACAAAAGTCTACAATTTTTCCAAAGAACCTTCATCTTAAAATAAGTCTTTAATGGTTTATTAAGAAAAGCCCAAGGGAGATTCAAGAGCAGCTGCATTAATTCTGGGTAGAGTGAATGAATTCATCCACCATATCATTGTTCATACAATTCAAAACCAGTTTTCGTTTCTCAACAACTCACTGAATTAACTACAAATGATTGGCTCTGCACATTAAACCGTGAACTGACTTACAAACCAATTCACTAGTTCGCAATCATGCTAAGCCAAAATTAAACCACATGATAACTCAAACCACTGTGTGATCTCAGCTCATTATACTAACCATGACTAAATGACATAGTAAACCATAATAGTGTGCAGTATTAAAAATGTGCAGTAAACCATAATAGGCTTTGATATGACCCCAATATCTGAATCCAGCCATTGTGGTCTATTCAACAAACAGTGCAATTTATGAACCCAGCCAAGAGTCACAAAGAGACTGCAGACAATATTTTATATTCTGAAAGGGAGAGCTGGGTTCAAATCCAAGCTTGGATGTGGTGTCAATGGCAACCAATCCCACTGGGGAAGGGAGACATAAGGATGGAAGAACCATGTATTCCACCCTAGCTCTTTAGAAAAAAAAGAAGAAGGAAGCATCACAACAATGTAGCAACTTGGTATCAACATTCATTTACTGATGAGCCCATATGCCAGTCCTATCAGAGCATCTTAACCATCAAAAGAAAAGAGGGACTAGACTTCCCAATTTTGAAAAATGTGTGAACCCAAAAAGAAAAAAAGAAATTATATTTGTCTATTAGATAAATAAATAAATACATACATACATACGACAGACAGACAGAAAGAAAAGAAAGACAATTCATAACAATTATGTAAAAGCATAGTTTCAACATGAATCCATAATGTGATTTATTTTGCGTGTTGCATGTTGTATGAATATCCAGCCAACTATGGTTTACCCAATAAACCCTATAAATCAGGGGTCCCCAACCACCGGTCCGTGGACCGGTACCGGTCCGCGGAACAACTCCTACCGGTCCACGGCTTGCTGGGCGCCGCCATCTTTTTTTTATTAAAACGTGCTTCCGGTGAGCTTTTCCTGGTAGAAAGCTCACCGGAAGTATGTTTTCATCAAAAAAAGATGGTGGCGCCAGCGCTTCCGGTGAGCTTTTCCGGGTAGAAAGCCATTTCTACCCGGAAAAGCTCACCGGAAGCGCTGGCACCGCCATCTTTTTTTGATGAAAACGTGCTTCCGGTGAGGTCACCGTAAGCACTTTTTCATCAAAAAAAGATGGCGGCGCCCAGCTGATGCCGGTACCGGGCCGCGGCGCCCAGCTGATGCCGGTACCGGGCCGTGGCGTCAAAAAGGTTGGGGATCACTGCTATAAATCAACCATGGTTTTGTGCAATATAGGAACACATGATAACTGTGTTCCCTCTGGGCTTAAAGGAAACTGACAATGCCCTGGTTCAATCCTTGGAAGGCTGCTAATGTGGTTGCTTCCCTGCTTTGGCAGCACCTTCTGTACAGAGATAAGATGATGCTGAGAAGATAACGAACCAAGAAACAGGTAAAGCGTTTGTAAGAACAGACGCAACACCCTCTTCTGAAGATACCTTATTGAAAAAGTGTTAACCTGAACCCTGGAGCAAAGAACATGGGAGTTCTGGGACTTGTACTGATTTTTAAAGAATTCAAAAAGTTCTCAGGACCAACGTGTAAACAAGTCAGTAAAATCATCTTGGGAAAGGAGGTTTATGTGCACCCAATGTGAATATAACATGGATAAACAAGATAAGCGTCTTCTTTTTTTAAATAATTTTTTATTAATATATAAATAAAAAGCAATGTGTTCAAAATCTATATATACAGTGTGTTGCCTGCTTACATTTCTTGGAGTAACATTCGTCATAATCATAATATCTTCTCTAATGGTAATTTCATGATAACAGTGCTTTTCCCTCATACAATTGATACTGTACATATTAATTTGTAAAACTAATCAAAATTAATCACAATAAGTTACAATAAGCAACCCTGATCATGAGATTAATCTTTCTTTTGTAATCTTTGAATTTCTAACCCGTTTCTCTTATTTAACCAATGATAGAACAGATCCTGTACCTCAAAATATTCAGTGTCTTCCTTTTCTTTAATTTCAAATGTTGGTTTATTCATTTCTGCACATTCTAAATTTTTTGTTATTATCTTTTCTTCTGTGGGGATCTTCTTGCCCTTCCAATGTTGTGTGAACACAATTCTGGCCGCTGTTAACACATGTACTATTAAAAATGCATATTTAAATGCATATAAGTCTTCTTGAGGATTCTAGAAAGTCAAAGGCCTACAAGAGAATTTCATGAAGGTGTCTATGAAATCACAACATGTGCCTTCTTGCCCGGACAATGAAGCCGTGACTTGCTATTATTATTTATTGAGATAAAGAACTGAGAGTCTCTGGTCTAGTAGTAGTTAGAAAGTCTGGAAAGCAGGAGACTATGAGTTCAAGTCCTGCCTTAGACATGAAAGCCAACTGGGTGACTTTGAGCTTGCCACTCTCTCTCTCAGCCAAGCCCACTTCCCATGGTTGTTGTTGTGGGGGAAATAGGAGGAAGTATTTGTGCATTTGCCACCTTGAATTATTTGCAAAAACAATAAAAGCAGGATGTAAATAAATACAAAAAGAAAGAAGAAATAAAGAAAAACCTATTGCTATTACTTACTATTACTATCTATTGTTTACTATCCAAAAGGTGCTTTTTCAAAAGGCAACTGGACTTTCTTGGTTGTTTGCCTTGAAAACATTTAGCTTCTCATCCAAGAAACTGGTCAGAACTGAAGAAACTACTTGGATGAGAAGCGAAATGTTTTAAAGGAAAAAAACCAAGAAAGTCCAGCTGTCTTTTGAAAAAGCACCTTTGGGACAACCATGACCTGGATGATTGAGAATCTCCATAGATATTTTTACTATCTTCTTTGACTTCGTATTTTATTTTCCGGGGTGGACTTCAGTCTAGGTACTACTCATCTGCTCTGAATCTGCTCACAATTTTTGAGATCAGCGTTGTCTCCAAAACTGAACTGTTTCCCTACAACAGGGCTCTTCAAACTTGACAGCTTTAAGACTTGCGGTCTTCAACTCTCAGAATTCCTCCTCCAGTCATGTTAGCTCGGGAGTTCTGGGAGTTGAAGTCCCACCAGTCTTAAACTTGCCAAGTTTGGAGACCCTTGCCCTACAACAAGCACCCTAAGCACTGAGGGGGATTCCTCCACCAAGGAAGCCATGCTGAGTCTATCTATGCATTGCTAAACATGTCATGGTTATATTTGGTTTCACCAGTCAGCACTAACTAACAAGCCATCATTTGCAGATCCCAGGGCTTGGGTATGGTCACCCACGAAACCAGAACCGAAGCAATCAGACCACAGATCTACATGGCCTATGAACAGATCCTTTCCACATGGAGAACAAGACACAAAAATTGACCGACTAGAATCAGGGGTCTCCAACCTTGGCAACTTTCATTTTGTGTTGATCCACGCGATGCCTAATCCCATAAAAAGCCTTCCCAAAAGTTAAAACAGGCTGAAGTGAACTATTTGAAAGCGAAAGTCATGCTTTCACCAGGAGCAAACCTTTGATGATCAGAGGGAAAGACCACTTAGAGATGCATACCTGTCTTCGGGGCAACCATAGGAATCTTAACGATGTGGTTTTCTACCATGCTTTTTCACTCCTTCTCAGTCTAGTTTGCAGTCCTGAAGGCGATCTAACTTTATGTGGTTTTTGGAGTGCAACACCTGGATTACTTCCTACTTGTCAACCTTCCAGAGGCAGCAGAAGAAGACATTTCTCAGCTATGCAGCCAACTTTCTGGTTGGCACCAGCACTTTTTCGGGTTTGATTTTTCGGGTTCCAAGGTGGGATTGCGCCCCCCACTCCCCAACCCCAAGGAGGCTCGTTTCTCCCGGGTCCTGCACCCTTCGCGAACCCAGCGGTGCCGGACCTGGTTCGGTGCTCTCCAGCGACGGAAGGTAACCGACCCAAGTTGGTTAAGGGTCACTGATGGAGAGGGCGCTGCTGTCTCTCCCCACTCCTCCCTCCGCTACCTTGCCCCCCTTACCTTCTCAAGCGATCCCTCCGTCCAGCCGCTCCTGCACCCGGCTGCCTCTGTTGCATCTGTTGCAAGCGCAGAGTCGTTGCACAACGGCGATCACGAGGCAGCTCCCCGCCTCTGCAGCCCGGAGGCTGGCGTGGAAAAGCCGAGCACCAGGCTGCGGTCTGGTGCGCGGAACAGGAGCCTCCTTCCCGGCTGACTCTTTAGGCTTAGCAAGCTTTTAGCAGCCCAATCCCTCCTTGCTCAGCAACCTCTGGTCCCCTCGCTTCTGCATACCAGGAAGGGCGGGCGCTTGCGGGCGGAGGCGGGGCTTCTCTCCCCCACCCCGCCCCCCGCTCGGATGAGCTGAGCCCGGCCCAGCTGGTCCGAGAGGAGCCGAGCTGCAGGCGAAAGCGCTCGATCCCCTTCCGGTAGGTCGCCGCCGAACTGCTCTTCTCGGCTTGTCCGCTAGAGGGCGAACCTATTCCCCAGCCGGACGCCGGCTGCCGGAAGCCCATCTGGGACAGGTAAACTTGCTGAGTCCACTCAAGCGGGAAAGTTACCTCAGCTCTTGCTAACTTCACAGACTCAGCGGTGCAGTTTTCCTGAGGTGATGTAGAAGAGGGATTTTGCCCCATCTCTTAAAAAAAGGAATACTACTACTATTAGGAATACTACTACTACTGGTAACAACAACAATAACAACAACAATAATAACAACAACAACAACAACTAGCAGCAGCAGCAACCCGTATCAGCATCAGTCACTGGTATTTGTGATACATTTTTAAATGTTTGGTTGACCGAGTTTCATGTTTAATGAATAAAAGATAATAATAACAGCAACAATAACAACAATAACGACAACAATAACAATAATAATATTACAGTTGTCAAAAATCGAAGCATACAATTTATTGATATCGTACCAGGATATGCCAGAGTTGAAGAAAAAGAACTGGAAAAAAAAAATCACGAAATATCGTGACCTGACAGATGGTTATGGATGAAAAATGTAACAGTGATACCCATTGTCATCAGGGCACGTGGTACCATGTCCAGGAATTTAAAAAGAAAAAATCAAGAAATTGCAGTTTCCTGTAATAACATCAGCAGAACTGCAAAAAACTGAGCTACTCGGAACATTGTCCATCTCAAGAAAATACTTGGTTGATACCTAGGATGCTGGCAGCAACCCGTATCAACCATCATCACCAGTCAATGATATTTGTGATACATTTTTAAATGTTCACAGTTTCATGTTTAATGAATAAAAGAGATAATAATAACAATAATAATAACCCCCCCCACAGGGTGCTGTCTTGATGTGGGGGGGTCTTAACTGCTCCAATGAAGCTGAGAGCTGTGCTGGTGGTAGTGCAAACTACCAGCAGGTCCAACCATGTCAGAGAAGTCTTGGCCAAGAAGCACAACTGAGTGCCCTCAATAACCCATGCAATGAATCATGGTGAAACACAACCAAACGAAGCCTATACCAGCTCAGTCGTTGCCCGGGTTAACAAGGACTGTGTCGGGTGTTGGGGAACCTGGGCATCCATTGACAAGTGGGCTAGAGGCCATGGGTCCCATAGCTGAGCAACCAGGGCATGGGCCTGCAGGAAGCTGAACAACCTCAGAAGCGGCAGAAATACACTATGTCGGAGAACCGCACTGAAATGAAATGCTACTACAAAGCAGAACCAGAAAAATTAGGCTACCAAAAAAGGATGTGCAAATTATGGAAACAAGAATATCCAGATCAAGGATAACTGAATTACAATTAGCTGATCAGCAACAATTTATCACTCAGAACAAAGTGCTCAGTGAAGTCGAATCAGAAGAAATATGGAAAAATTGTGAAATGGGAACACAGATTGCTGAACAGCAGACTGCTGAAGTGGCAGCAGAAAATACTCCAATAACATCTGGAGCAACTGAACGGCCTGAATTCAAAGAAAATTGAGATATTTTGCAAGAACAGGAACAGCAAGGGCCTGAAGTCATTGAAACATCAAGAGTACTCAATGCCAGGCAGCAAGAACTGAAAGCTAAAATCTTGGCACATGCTGCATCAAATGCAGAAAGAAGGCTTCCAACATTGAAGACTGTGCCTAGAAAACATTTGGCACCATTGATGATAGATGCGAATTATGCACTTGCAGCAGTCCAGATGATATCAATTGAACAAGCAAATTGCCTACAGTACAGCAGTCATAGTAACTGAAAAACTGGGGATTCAACCGCCGCAGCCCTCTAGAAAATTGACTGGAAAACCACAGTGGAAAATCAGGTTGCAGTTGAAAATCAAGAGCCTGCAAGCAGATGCCAGCAACTTGAAGAATTTTCAGGAGAAAAAGCTGAAGAACAGCAAGACCAAGAAACATCTGATTAAAAAATACAGGCTCAACACAAGAAAAATTGATGAAGCATTGGAAATTGTGAAGCAGCAGATAACAGCAACAGCAAGAAAAATTGAAAGATACGAAGCCAGAGTCATCCAGTACAAACAAAATCAATTGTTCCAATCAGACCAAAGATGGTTCTATCAGAGTCTGAATCAGACGGGGGATATGAATATTGAAAAACCTGACAAAACAGCAACTACTCTGTTTTGGAAAGACCTGTGGGAGACTGAGAAATGCTGCAACAAAAATGCTAGGTGGATCAGAGACTTTAAGATGAAATTCTCCAAGAACAAAATGGACCAATTGGAAATAACTACTGAGATGATAAGCAACAGAGTGAAAAAAGTCAAGAACTGGACATTGCCTGGCAATGATCAACTGCATGGCTTTTGGCTCAAATACCTGACCAGCCTGTACAAAAAAATGGCTGAACAATTCAATGAGATGCTGCAGACAGGAAACATCAGTGAATGGTTAACAGCTGGGAAAACCTACTTGATACAGAAGGATCCAGCAAAAGGGGCAACACCTACAAATTACAGGCCAATAACGTGTCTGCCAACCATGTTCAAGCTGCTGACCAGCATCATAGCTGACAGGATCCAGGACTACCTAGAAGCAAATAACATCTTGCCAGTAGAGCAGAAAGGAAACAAACAAAAAAACAGAGGCACAAAAGATCAGCTCCTGATCGACAAAATGATTCTAGAGAACTGCAAAAGCCTAAAAACAAATCTGTACACAACTTGGATTGACTACAAGAAAGCATTTGATTCACTACCGCACAGCTGGATCATCAAGTGCCTGGATGTCATCGGAATATGCAAGTGCATTGGTGCTTTCACTGCAAATGCAATGAAGCACATGAAAACAGAACTGTTTATTGGAAGTGAAAGCTACGGACTGGTCAACATCAAAAGAGGGATTTTCCAGGGTGATCTTTTTTTTTTTTTTTTCTCTTTTTCTTTTTTTTTTTTTTTAAAAAAACAAGTTTTATTAATTTTTAAAACACACAAATTATCATTATTCATTACATGTTTAAACCTTTTTCCATTGTAAATTTAACAAGTCAGATAAATTATGATTCTGTTTTAAACCATTTCCATATAATATACCAAAACCTCTTATTCAATTTCTCTTTACTTCTCTTTACTCTTATTCAATATCATTATTATTATTTCATCTGATTCTTTCTGACTTAGTTACCATTATTCTCATTCTATATTTCTACAAGTTTTTACCAATTCTCCCCCCAAAAAAGACATATACACACAACACACAAAACATAAAAAAATATCTTTTTGGAAAGTAACTTGGACCCAGGTGTCTCTCTCTTCATGGACTTCAATTATATTCATGCTCATCTTACATATCATTACTTATTTTATTTACCATTCTAAGCCTTCTATATTAACTTCTCCACATATTTCACACTTCTTAATTCTACCTTAATTAATCATCTTAGTTTAAATCATTATATTTGTATCTTTTGTCCATTTTTTATCATCCCTTTGTCTCATCCCTTATGAAAAAAAAGAAAATCAGTTTCTCCTGAAATCATTAATCAGAGTATGATGCCTTTCTATCTCCCCCCTAAGTTAATCAAATTAATCTTTAAAATAATAATCAGATTTTGCTTGGTACATTCTATCTAACTAATACATCCAACACAATTAAGTGCATAATTAGAGAATAAATCCAAATATTAAAAAGAAATACTATAATAAAAATTTTATAATAACATCAATACCATAATTTTATTAAACTCTTTAATTAAAACAATATTCTAAACCTCTCCTATTATTAAGTTTTAAAACCAATCATTTTTAAACATTTTAACATTTTAATCTCTTATCAACTCTTAAACCATTGCAATACTACCATCTCATCTTATGTACCTTGCAAAATCTTTTTTTTTTTTTAAAAAAATTATACTTTATCCATTATCCATAAAAAATTCCTTTTTTCCATTTAATTTCAAAACATTGTAGCTTTTCTCCACCTTTTCCCTTTCTTTCTTTTCCCAACAAACCTTTCTACCCCCCCTTCTTCTAGCCTCTGCCTTACCGGCTTCCCTTCTCTGTCGTATTTCTTTTCCCCTTTGTTTACAATCATCATATTGGTTTTGCACTTTATTTTTCCCTTTCTTAAATGTTTTTTTAGATCTTAAGTCCTTAAATCCTTTAGTTTTCTTCTTTTCTCTTCTTTTCTTTTCTTTCTCTCTTCCTTTTTTCTGGATCAAATTCTGAGATTCATTAAAGATGGCTCCTTCCTTTCTTTCTTGTTCCTCTGCTGTCTTCATCTGTTGTAATTTTTGTTGATAATTAGTAAGCGCCATTTCTAAGAAAAGGAAAGCTTCTTCCACACCATTTCTTAGTTCCTCAACAGAAAGAGCCATTATAAATCTTTTCTTTTCTTTTCTCCTTCTTTCTTCTTACAACAACCAGAATATTCAAAAGAAAATAAAAAAGATAAAACAGTCCCAAAGTTATCAATCAGTCCAAACCAAGGCAGAGTTCTCACTATCTCCTTCTGGGGTAATATCAATCAAAGAGAAAGAAAGTCCAAATCTGTTTAAAATCTTATTACAATATATTCTAGTCTTCAAATCCTTAAGGCATCTGCTCCAACAAATCTTAGCATACAAATATTTTCTTTTTAATCCTCTCTCTTCCCACTCATCGCTTAAAACCAATTTCCACCTAAAAAAATAGGTTTCTTAATATCCAGTTATTTATTCCGTAGGAAAAGAGGGAAAGCTATCCTTTCAGCACCTTCAAGCAGCCGCTTTTTTCCTCTTCTGGCAGGTATTATTCAGAAAGTCATACTTTTCAGGAATTTTATTAAATATGTCTTAGAGTCCTAGGAGCCAA